GGATCACGAGGTCAGGAGATCGAGACCATCCTGGTTAACATGGTGAAACCCTGTCTCTACTAAAAACGCAAAAAATTAGCCGGGCATGGCGGCGGGCGCCTGTAGTCCCAGCTACTTGGGAGGCTGAGGCAGGAGAATGGCGTGAACCCGGGGGGTCGGAGCTTGCAGTGAGCCGGGATCGCGCCACTGCACTCCAGCCTGGGCAACTGAGCAAGACTCCGCCTCAAAAAAAAAAAAAAAGAATACTTAAATGATCCTGCTGATCACGGTGTTCTAGTAAGAAAGTGCTCTGCTAGTGATGTTACAGCATATTGCACATGAATAATATTTGATATCTTGCTACTCTTTTCTTATACTCTGCCCCAAACCCAAAGGAAGATTAAAAAGAGAAAAAAGGTAAAGGTATGAAAGAACCTTTGGTGACTCAGGTGGCTTCAGATTTACGAGTCACAAAAACTTGCAAGCAGGTTCTAGGAGACTTCACTGCATCCATATATGCTGTTATAGTTTTTTTTTTTTTTTTTTTTTTTTGTGAGATGGAGTCTCACTCTGTTGCTTGGCTTGCTGCAACCTCCACCTTCTGGGTTCAAGTAATTCTTCCACTTCAGCCTTCTAAGTAGCTGGGACTACAGGCACCTGCCACCATGCCAAGCTAATTTTTGCATTTTTAGTAGAGATGGGGTTTCACCATGTTGGCCAGGCTGGTCTCAAACTCCTGACCTCAAGTGCCCACTCCGGCCTCCCAAAGTGCTGGGATTACAGGCATGAGCCACTGCATCCAGCTTGTTATAGTCTTAAAACAGTCTACACCAGGGGTTGGTAAACGTTTCCTATAAAGGGTCAGATAGTAAATATTTTATGTCACTATGCAACTCTCCACAGTAGCATGGAAGCAGTCATAGACAATACATAACTAAATTAGTGTGCTGTGTTCCAGCAACGCTTTATGGACACAGAAATTCACTTAAAATCCATATAATTTTCACATGCTATGAAATATTACTCTACTGTTTTTTTTTGTTTTTTTTTTTTGGTAGGGGACAGGGTCTGTCACTCAGACTAGAGAGCAGTGGCACCATCACAGCTCAGTGTAGCCTAGACCTCCTGAGATCAAGCGATCCTCCTATCTCTCAGCTTCCTGAATAGCTGGGATCACAGGCACATGCCACCATGCCCAGTTAATTTTTGTATTTTTTGTAGACATGAGGTTTCACCATGTTGCCAAGGCTGGTCTTGAACTCCTGGATTCAAGCAATCCACCTGTCTTGGCCTCCTGAAATGTTAGGATTACAGGTGTGAGCCACTGCACGCAGTGATTTATTTCTAATAGATGTAAAAATCATTCTTAGTTGTCGGGGCAAATAAAACAGGCTTGCAGGCCAGATTTGGCTTGGGAGGTATAGTGCGGACTGGTCCACATGATTGGAGAGTCAGCAGGCTCTTACTCTCAGACTTCCTGGTCCTCACCAGTCTATTTTGTAGTGGCTTCTTCCTTTCAGCCACTGTTGATGGGACTGTAAGGTCACTGCATGTGACTGACACCAAAAGAGAAAGGTTCTTTTAATAAATCTTTCCATACTATCTAGAAGATTTTTTTCAGTTTTATTTCTTAAACATATAACAGGGCATCATAAAATGACATAATAAAACTAGATAGGTTATAATAGATTTTCTTTTGTTTTTAAGAACAATGTTTTTAGGCCTAGTAATATTACTTAATAAAAAGAACAGATATTTAAGGGACTGTACATTTTTATTTAATAAACCACATGGCAAAACAACACTTTAATAAATGTATAGGAAATTACAATTTGTAAGTTGCAAATACAGTACATATATATATATATATATACTTTGATCTTAATTAACATGGACAAACCCCAGCTTCAAAATCTTTCTAAAATCAATTATATGCAAAATACCTGGTTTCTGAAAGGGCATATGATAAAGTATATACAATTTCTTAAACTGTGATATGGCTTATTTAATAACATGTATTTATTGAGAGAAGCATAAACTTTCCAAATATACAGTATCTTCCAGGTAGAAAGATGACATACTGGCACATTTCAATTTTGTGTTGCAGTTATTTGAGAATATACTAAATTACACTATTTAAATGGACACTGTCATAGATTTAACTGGGAAAGTCTTCATAAATGTTTTCCAGTCTTATCAGAAATCAAATTGGTCCTCAGTGATTGGAAGAGTAGGTTAAACCCTTTATAAGCGAGAATTCAATGACGGGTGGGCCCGAGTGCACACATGTAATTCAATACTGAGGAACTCCCACAACACTGTCTTCTAATTTGCATGCTCCCACGAACATCACAAATAGTATACCTGATTGGCAATCAGTAAAACAAATCTCAAGCCCTGGCTGTCAAGATTCACACGACACATCTGGAGTTAGGTTTTGCAAACTGTATTTTGGCTACAGAGATATTGAGCTTTATCAATTATTTGGAGATCAGACTTGCCTCCCCTCAACATAGCATATAGTGATGTGTGTTCATTTATGACTAATAACCAACTGGCTCATGAGCTTGGCTTGGTTCAAAGACAAACTGAACCAAATGAACTAATCTTATATCTAGGAAACACTCTGTAACTTTAAATTTGCTATATACAAATCAGAGCCGACAGCAAAACTGCCTAAAACCTTATTTCAAAGGGGCTCATATTCTGTAAGAACACCATATTATGTTGAACCAATAACATATATGCATAAAAGGAAAACAGATTTAGCTAACTGCTTGTTTCAGAATCAAATGATTAATTCTACAAAAGCTGTGAGAATGGCTGTTTTGAGAAACATGACGCAGAGTCTTCTTAGCAATGATATTCACTGGTGGTTGCGCAGTGTAGTCTCTTTGTCTACCACACTTACTCTACGAAGTCCAGCATGCAGAGAAATCTGGATCAGAAACAACCAGCCATTTTAAAAAGGTTCTTTCCTACCTGGAAATACATTTCTAAGTGGTGCCTTGTCTCTGAAAGATGATTTTCCTCACATTAAAATGAGAGAGAAGCTCATGTGTCTGATCTTGATTATGTCTATTCTGGAAAGTCTACCAAAGACAAACACTGTCAGGTGGGACACCTGGGTTCAAGAGGAACACTAAGTCTCACAAGAGCAAGAAACTTGGTTTTAGAGAATGGAAATAAAGCACCCAAAGTTGAAAAGAAAACAGTAAAATAAGAAAACCGGTGATGTTGCAAAAAACACTGATGGAACTCTTAAGTTGTAAAAATCTGCACTCACATTACATAAGGCATAGCTAATGGAAACGTATGTAGGAATTACAATAGCTTCCAGTTCTGCATATCAAAACCTTCTGAGATATGCTTTCTTCAATTACACTCCCATTACGTTTCTAAGGCAGCATATTTGTTAGTGGAATAATAGATCTTTTCCTGAAACAGATCAAAAGGCTGCATCTGGCCATAGTTGTAAAACACAGGTTTATGTACACAAGTAACTCTGATTATTTGCAAATATTAATTAAAATATGTCACACCAAAGAACTGCCAAGTTTTTATATTGTGGTCTGTGGCCCTGTCGTAATCTGTTTTCCCAGTGCAAAATTAACAATGCTATGTGTTCATCCAACTTAGTCACTGCTTTTCACAGGGCATAGAGCTCGTTGAGAGCTCAGCTGAGAAGTGTAATGAATGGTTGTAGCTCAACAAATGAAGGGTAGACCAAACGCTTTTTGTCAGAAGTCATTCAGTCCTTGGTCCTATCTGCTTTTAACGTCCTTTTCTGTGGGTTTTGTTAAGTTACAAAAAGTGAAATCAAATTCTCAAATCTCATAGACTCAGTAAGGTACAGATACAAACTAGGTAGTTCTTGCTACAAAAACAAAGCACAGGAAACTTTATGTGTACCTCACTTTAAGCAGAACACAATAGTTAAGATTTACTAAAGTTTAAATCTTAAACTTTTGGCCGGGTGCAGTGGCTCACACCCTGTAATCCCAGCACTTTGGGAGCCCAAGATGGGAGGATTTCTTTGAGCCCAGGAGTTCAACACCAGCCTGGGCAACATAAGGAGACCCCATCTCATTAAAAAAAAAAAAAAAAGACTTACAAAGGTTTGCAGTGTTTCTGTATTTTACAAAAGGATTATTTTTGGCTGGGCACAGTGGTTCATGCCTACAATCCCAGCACTTTGGCAGGCCAAGGCAGGCAGATCACTTGAGCTCAGGAGTTCAAGACCAGCCTGGGCAACAAGGTGAAACACTGTGTCTACCAAAAATACAAAAAATTAGCTGGGTGTGGTGCTGCATGCCTGTGGTCCCAGCTACTTGGGAGGCTGAGATGGGAGGATCGCTTGAGCTCAGGAGGCAGAGGCTGCAGTGAGCCGAATTGTGCCACTGCACTCCAGCCTGGATGACAGTGAGATAGCATCTTAAAAAATTAAAAAAAAAAAATTCTTTTCAATACTCAAATGAATTTTAGCCTGTTTTATCAAATACATTTTTAAGGAACAGGTCGATATAAAAAGCGAGATATGCCTTTATAAGATAAAGAAAAGTTTATAAGAAGCTCAATAGATATAAAAAAAGATTAGAGTATGATGAATATTTTTTCCTTTCTACTTGCTAGATACTCAAAAGTTCATAAATATGTCCAGATGTCCACTGAAATATCTCTCATTTATTCTTACTTGGTTTCTATATGTAAGAATATTTTGATTTAAATAGTTTATATGCTCCTGAAATTTCTGAGAAATTCAAGTCATTATTTTAAATGACTTTCCAATAGGAATCCCATCATGTACATTTTCTTTTCCTTTTTTTTTTGAGATAGGGTCTCATTTTGTTACTCAGGCTGGAATGCAATGATGTGGACATGGCTCACTGCAGCCTCAACCTTCCGGGCTCAAGCACTTCTGCCACAGCTTTACAAGTAGTTGATACTATAGGTATGCATGACGCCTGGCTAATTTTTATATTTTTATAGAGACAGGGTCTCCACAAAAGACCATGTTGGTTGTGAACTCTTGGCCTCAAGTGATACTCCCACCTTTGCCTCCCCAAATGCTGAGATTACAGGCATGAGCCATTGTGTCTGGCCACATAAATTTTCAGTTCAGTTCAACAAACATCTACTGGGTTTCATTAGAGGGACCATCAATCCTTTTATTGACACCGTTAACTCCCAACAATCTTATAGGTAAATCTGGGTTTTCTTATCTTAGGTTTGCTTATAGTAAGGTACTTGGTAAGAAGATAAAATGTTTCCTATTCTTCATTTATATTATAAGTCATCTGCATCCTTATCTAGAATTTCAACTCACAATTTGCCTGGTACATTGTTACCCTACTCTGATTCTTAAAGGAGCCCAAGAACCATATCCATTTTTGGTGTAAGAAACTGTCACTGTTGAAAAGGGACTCCAAATGTACATAAAAGATAATCTTAAAACCAATGGTTGCAAAATGAAAGATGAACAGTTAAGCTCCTTCTTTAACAGAGGCATTTACAATCAGGTTGCCTTCAGTTTGGAAACCTCTATGTTTAGTTTCCCTGCAACACAGATTTAATGTCCATCCCTATCTAGTGCTTCAAAACACACACATACAGGCCAGGCATGGTGACTCATGCTGTAATCCCAGCACTCTGGAAGGCCGAGGCAGGCGGATCACCTGAGGACCTGAGGTCAGGAGTTTGAGACCAGACAGGCCAACATGGCGAAACCCCGTCTCTACTAAAAATACAAAAAAATTAGCTGGGTGTGGTGTACCTGTAGTCCCAGCTAGTTGGGAGGCTGAGGCAGAAGAACCACTGGAACCCAGGAGGCAGAGGTTGCAGTGAGCAGAGGTCACACCACTGCACTCCAGCCTGGGTGACAGAGTGAGACTCTGTCTCAAAAACAAAAACAAAAACACACACATACATAAGGTCAAAAATCCTTTACATTTCTGTTTTCTCAAAGTAATGTCTTCCCCCCAACCCCTTGGACATTTCTGCTATGGTATTATTGGAAGACCTCAAAATTGTATTTTAGGGTTTCTGGAGTCCACGGAGAATCCTAACCCATATCATAAAACATTAAATATATAATAAAACATAACCCACATCATAAAACATAAAATTCTCTCTGGAGTAATGTTGTGAAACTGTATGTGAAAGGTGGGAATTATAAACTGAACCCTCTAGCGTTTACCCTGAAAGGCACACACAGATGACCTGGTGTGGAGGCAGGAACCAACGTACCACACTTTTTGTACAAATTGTTGGCAGTTCTTAAAGGGACAGAAGATTACTGTTTACATTTTGCAGTCTCTTGCCTTTTTAAGACAATTCCATGAATGATAAAAGTGATGTCGGGAAGACATAAACCTGAAACTCCAACAGCCATCCTTGCTCCTTTATTTTGTTTTAAATCATTATATAGTAATTTAAGTTTAAGACTAACTTCAGCCATTCAGAATAATATTGAAAGTATTTCCTAAATCATTTAATAACAGCGACCACAATAAGTGAAGATTTGGTTCTAAGATTACAAATAATCAAAAATGTTAACTTTGAGGTTCAAAACCCTGTAGCATCTGGAAAAGGTTGTTTATAAAGTATAACCATAACAATAACATTAAAACTTATTTGTGAAATAAAACATTTCTGAAACACTTAGAATACATGCTTATTCCACTTTTGGGATAACTACTAGTACTTTCTGAAATATGTTGGGTAGTGATTTCTGTAAAAAGAAAGCAGCAATTCCAGAAGCTGGGTGTCGAGATTATTGTACATAATAAAAAAATTCAGTTTTCCAGCACTGGCTTAATATAAAATGGACTTAAAAAGTATTTTTAAATGCAAATATTGAATTCTTGATGCTTCCTTTAAGATATGTACTCTGTCAAATTAATGAAGTATGATCTTGGATTGTCTTCTATGAGGTATCTGTAGAGTCACGTCTCATTCTGTAAACAGTGTTTGGGAAACATCTTCATCTGAAAATTATGGCAAAGTCTCCTTTTACCATTAAACAGAGAGTAGCACTGTCAGGCTGGGGTGACTGTTTGAGAGACTGATGCTTGATATGGACACAGCTGTCAGGGATTCCATTTTCTCATTTAGGTTTGCATTTATTGCTCTCAAGTCTGTGACTGCAGGATAAATAAGGCAGGAGTCCCCAAAATGTATAAAATTAGGGACTAGAACTCTGACAATTTGCACAAGTTCTGTCCACTTCTTGCCTGTAACTCTGAAGCTGAATAGTACATCTATACATGCCAAATGTGTTCAATAATAAATGGTTTGCTTTGGACTGTACTTCCTCCCATTTAGATGAACTTCCAGGAACTGCAATGTCAAGAAAGTATCATTACTATCCATTGTACAGTTACATCTTGAATAAGATACAGGGAAAAAAACAACTGAAACATACTGGGAATATATTTTAATTAGTCTGATTTCTATCCCCTCTAAGCTATTCTGTTAGATAAGTATGTCAATTTACACATCCTTAATGGCTTCTCATTATTCTAACTTCTCCAGTCTACTCTCACGTAGAGAAAGAATACCAGACATCAATTACAATCCTGTCATTAAAAGATCTTATGCACATTAAAAGTAAAACCTCATGCATGTATTATTTTGATTTAAAAAGCATCAATAGCATGAATCTGTGAAATGACTCGAAGAAATAAAAACGTTAAGAATCTAGCTTTTCCGCCGGGTGCGGTGGCTCACGCCTGTAATCCTAGCACTTTGGGAGGCTGAGGCGGGCCGATCACCTGAGGCCGGGAGTTCAAGACCAGCCTGACCAACATGGAGAAACCCTGTCTCTACTAAAAGTACAAAATTAGCCAGGCATGGTGGTGTATCCCTGTAATCTCAGCTACTTGAGAGGCTGAGGCAGGAGAACCACTTGAACTTGGGAGGCAGAGGTTGCAGTGAGCAGAGATTGTGCCATTGCACTCTAGCCTGGGCAACAACAGTGAAACTCTGTCTCGGGAAAAAAAAAAAAAGAATCTAGCTTTTCCTATGTAGAAAAGAGCATGGGAAACATTCTTTCTTTCTTTTCTTTTTTTTTTTTTGAGATGGAATTTCGCTCCTGTTGCCCAGGCTGGAGTACAATGGTGCCATCTTGGCTCACTGCAGCCTCTGTGTCCTGGGTGCAATCAATTCTCCTGCCTCAGCCTCCCAAGTAGCTGGGATTACAGGCACATGTCACCACGCCCAGCTAATTTTTGTATTTTTAGTAGAGATGGGGTTTCATCACGTTGGCCGGGCTGGTCTTGAACTCCTGACCTCTGGTGATCCACCCACCTTGGCCTCCCAAAGTGTTGGGATTATAGGGATGACCCAACGTGCCAGGCCAGGAAATATCCTTTTTTATTTTTTTTGAGATGGAGTCTTGCTCTGTCACCCAGACTGGAGTGCGGTGGCGTGATCTCGGCTCACTGTAACCTCCACTGCATGAGTTTAAGCAATTCTCCTGCCTCAACCTCCCGAGTAGCTGGGATTACAGGCATGCACCACCACGTCTAGCTAATTTTTGTATTTTTAGTGGAGACGGGGGTTTCACCATGTTGTCCAGGCTGGTCTCGAACTCCTGACCTCAGGTGATCCACCCGCCTCAGTCTCCCAAAGTGCTAGGATTACAGGCGTGAGCCACTGAGTCGGCTGGGAAATATTCTTAATGCCTTTAATCTGAAGGTTAAAATCAATTTGTAATATCTCTAAGAGACAGAAAATTATTGTTCTGGTATCAATACTGACCTGCAACTTACCTTTTAAAGAGCCTTTTGTTTAAGGCTCTTAACAAAAGCCTTTGTTTTTTAAAGACAAGGCTTTTGTCTTAAAACAAATCTTTTCAGCAGAAAAGTCTTCCTACATAATTATAAGCAGGGATGTTTAGTTTCAAAGGCAGAAGTCCACCAACCCCAGGCCCACTTACTACCAGCAACATACTTAGCTGTATGTGAACTATGGCAGTAGATTTTCCTGAAGTGAGAGACCAGATATTTAAATCTTCGACTGAATATACATCTTCTATTTTCATCAAGGCTTCTTTGACATAGTCTACATTCAAATGGCTTGGCACACCTATTAGGAATATATAATTTAAAAGTAAAATTTATTTTAGAAAAAAGGAACTTTTACATTACTGATAAGACATTTCTCAAAGAAAACAAATGGCTTTGCTAAATTCAGTTTAAACAAATACTTTAAAACATTACTACTTTAAGATAAACCATGTACACATATATTTTTATTGAAAATGTAAGATATATACAAGAGGGTAATGCATACTTTAAAGACATACTCATTCTCACTAAAAAGGAATGCCAATCAAACCAGAATACTTCATTAACAGATAAGCTAAGACAAAAAGGAAAAAAGAAGGAAAGAAAAGAACATATAATGATGATAAACCTTTTGTTAAGAACTTTTATTTTCATGCTTACACATAATATCAGTAAGGGAAGGAAGCAGTAAATACAACAAAGTCACAAGTTAAGTGGGAATTAAGGAATTAATACATAATCTAGAATTGCATTTTTGTCCTAGTGCTACAGTTTATTAGCAACATGACCTTAACCAAAGTATGTTATCCCTCTGAATCTCAATTTTCTTATTTGTAAATAGGGATAATTTACCACATTATCTGCCTTACCTACTCTGCTTAGCTATTATAAGTGTCAAATGGGTAAAAGATGGGAGAGTGCATTGATTCTTAAATGTTATATACATGTAAGGTACTGTTATATAGCCTAACAGGTATTAGTAGAAAGTAAAAGATGTAATTCCTATTCAGAATGTCCCCTGACTCCCAATCTGCTTTAGGGATGTAATAAACTCATAATGAGGATATTAGTGAGATCTTACCTTCTAGTATTATAACTACTGTATCCCATATGATTCGAAATGTTGTAAAAGCCACAAGTAATGAAAATACGTATGTACAGATGGGATCAGCAATCTTGTATTCTGGCTAAAGGGTAATAGATCAAAATTTATGATTAAATATAGACAGACATAAAACAGACTACGAAGCAAAGCAAGGAATATGTCCCTTCTTCCTTGATTTTCTTTAGCAGAATTATAGAATATCTTTAAAACTTGGATATTGTAATTGAAAAGCATCTTCACTCTATCCTAGACTATTTACATTACTTGCCTCATGGGACCTATTTCCAGAAATGTAATCACTTGTTCTATTGCTCCTTGTGCCATCTCTAAATCTTCTAGAATATCAGAGCGGGAAAGAATTTTGCGTGTGTGTGTGTGTGTGTGTGTGTGTGTGTGTGTGTATTTTTAAAGACAAAGTCTTGCTATGTTGCCCAGGCTGGTCTTGAACTCCTGGGCTCAAGTGATCCTCCAGCCTCAGCTGGGATTACAGGCACAGCCACTGCACCCAGCTCTGGAAAAAGTTTTAGCAGCCACTAGTCTAAGCCCCTTACAATAAAGAAGAGGGAACTCAAGTTTAGAGTTGAGGCATTTGCTCTCAAGGTGAAAGCATTAATGGCAGAGCCAAGACTAGAACCCACCCAGGTCTCTGGATTTTTAGTCCAGCGCACATTTTACTACTAGCAATTCAATCACGAGTTTTAAAATTGAGTTATCTGGGCAAGCATGGTGGCTCACGCTAGTGATCTCAGCACTATGGGAGGCTGACGTTGGTGGATCACTTGAGGCCAGGAATTCAAGACCAGCCTGGCCAACATGGCGAAACCTTGTCTCTACTAAAAATATAAAAATTAGCTGGGCATGGTGGTGTGTACCTGTAATCCCAGCTACTTGGGAGGCTGGGGCACAAGAATCACTTGAGCCTGGGAGGCAGAGGCTGCAGTGAGCCAAGATAGTGCCACTGTACTCCAGCCTGGGCGAGAGACTGAGACTTTGTCTCAAAAATAAATAAATAAATAAATAAATAAGAAAATTGAATTATCCAGTGAAGGCACTACAAAAGCCAAATATAGATAAGTTACCCTGTGATGTGATATCATCTTGTTTACTGCTAACAAAAGAACTATAATGACTGTCAAGTAAACTTATATCAATGTAAAATGAATAGAACTGGCATTGATGTCCAGTATACTGATAAGACAATCAGCCTTAGTTTTCATGTTGAAATTAAATACATTTTAAAATAGAAAAATTACCAATCATATTACCTTGAATCGTATGATGTATGCAGCTATTAGCACACCAACACTCTGTACCAAATCTCCCAAAGCATGTACAAATGCAGCTCTCACTGCCAGGCTATCCTGCCCATGGTTGCGTTCACACCCAGAACCTGTGGTAGGGGAATTTGAAGGCAGGGAGTGGGAATGGGAGTGATGGTGACCAGACTGGTTCAACAGAAACCCCATTCTGTTAAAAATAAAAGAAAACATTATTATTTTTCCTAATATTGACAAAAACATTTGTTACTAGTCAGACACTAATGAGGTAACATGGAACTCATTTATTTAATAAATTTGGAGCAACTATTATTTATCAGGTACTGTTCTAGGTGCTGGGGTCAAAACAGTGATAACACAGACATATCCCTATCCCCATGGAGCTTATGTTATAGTAGAGAAGGCAGAGAAGCCAACAAATAAATACATAATGTACAGCCAGGCAATGTGAAATGCTTTGGAGAAACATAAAGCATTGTAAGGGAATGGAGTATGATAGGCAGAGTGGTAAGGGAAGGCCTCTCAGATTATCTCTGAGCAGATACCTGAAGGAGGTCAGGGAGCAAGTGGTAGAAGAGTGTTCTAGGCAGAAGAATAGCAGAGCAAAGGCCCTAACATGAAAATGCGCTCCGTGGACTTGAAAAAAAAAAAAGACAGCCACTGTGGCCAGAACAAAGTGAGCAAAAGTGCTAGGAGATGAGTTGTAGAGGTACACAGAGTCTTATTAACAAGGCTGCAATAAAAATTTGATTTCATTCTAAGTATAAATAGAAGCCACTAGGGCAGGGATTGGTAAACTGTGGCTGGTAGATCAAATTTGGCTCACCGATTTTTTTTTTTTTTTTTGTACATAAAGTTTTATTGGAACACAGCCATGTTCATTTGTTTACATGCTAAGTGTGGCTGCTTTTGTTTTATAACAACAGTGTTGAGTAGCTTTGAAAGAGAATATATACATCTCAAAGCTTAAAATATTTACTATCTAGCCTTTTACAGAAAAAAATTGCTGACCCTAGTCTAAATGATTAAATCTGTAACTTCAACTTTATTATTTTTTGTTTGTTTTTGAGACAGGGTCTTGCTCTATTGCCCAGGCTGGAGTGCAGTGGCCCAATCAGAGCTCAATGCAGCCCTGATATCCTGTGCTCAAGTGACCTTCCCACTTCAGCCTCCCAAGTAGCTGGGACCACAGGCACGAGCCACTGTGCCAGGCTAATTTTTATTTTTAGTAGAGATGAGGTCTCACTATGTTAGCCAGGATGTCTTGAACTCCTGAGCCCAAGTGATCTGCCCGCCTTGGCCTCCCAAAGTGTTGGGATTATAGGTGTGAACCACTGTATGTGGCCTAACTTAAAACTTTAAAAAGTTTCTCCCCTAAAAAGTTTTAAGGGAAAAAAATTGATAGCTTAAGAAAAAAAATCTAGTTAACACAAAAGTATTCTAAAAGTTAAAAACAAAAAACTTTGTCCTACCTAAATTCATAATTTTGACTCAATCTCCAATATACCTGGGCAAACTAATGAGGAATTTATAATGTCCATAGTGTTTCATTTATCAGAAAAATTAATAAGCTATATCATTTTTAAAATATCAAAATATCACTGAATATTACTGAATGCATATGCAATAGTCTCTGAGTTCTCAGTACTTGAAAATATTAATGTGAAAAAATACAGCTTACATTACATTAACTGCAACTCCAACAGCTGCGGTGATGAGCATTATATCTCCATTTATTTCATAGTTCATATGGATAGTTCTTTGCACAGCTTCATATAAGAGGAATCCCATAAGTATATACACCAACAGCACACTAATCATAGCTGACAAAACCTCTAGAGGGAAAAATACATATAACAAATACATTTTCAGCATGGTTATTACACTTCATACCAACTAAATATTATACAGTCTTTTTTATATTCTTTCCTCTAAGGAGATAAAAGTACTATATCGTTTCTGTCACGTCAATTTTCTTTTTTATTTTTTTGAGACAGGGTCTCACTCTGTCACCCAGACTGGAGTGCAGTGACCTGATCATGATCATGGTTCACTGCAGCCTTGATCTCCCAGGCTCAAGTGATCTTCCCATCTCAGCCTCCAAGTAGCTGGTACTACTGTAGGCACAAGCCACCACACCTGGCTAATCATTTTTCTTACTTAAAATGTGTTTAGCACTTACAGAAAAAAAAAAATGTTTAGCAGCTTGACTGATCTGGATCCTCCACTAATTTACCCTTACCTCTCCCTACCCTCTACTCATCTCTCTCCAGGGTCAAATTATGCATATTTACAGACCATGCACAAGGTAAAAAATGACAAAATGAGAAAAAATATTTGTAACATATGTGATCACAACTAATTTCTTGATATAAAAAAGTACACTCAAAAGTCAGTAACAGGCCAGGTGTGGTGGCTCATGCCTGTAATCCCCTAACACTTTGGGAGGCTGAGATGGAAGGATCCCTTGAGCCCATGAGTTTGACATCAGCCTAGGCAACATAGTGAGACTCCATCTCTCTTTGTTCTTCCCTTCCCTTCATGTCAAATGGGTAATGTGCCAACATTACAACAAGGTTCCAGGGTGGCACATGTCACACAGGTATGCGAACACTTAATTACCAAGCTCATGAACTACAAGAGGATCAAGACTCTATCTCTAAAAAAAATTTTTTTAATTAGCTGGACATGGTGGTGAGTGCCTATGGTCCCAGCTACTCGGGAGGCTGAGGTGGGAGGATTGTTTAAACCCAGGAGGTCCAGGCTGCAGTAAACCATGTGCTACTGGACTCCAGCCTGGTCTCCAGAGTGAGACCCTGTCTCAAAAAAAAAAAAAAAAAAATCAATAAGAAAATTCATAGTAAACAGAAATGGCCAAATTCTCAAAATCAGTCATAATAAATGAAATTCAAATAGGAATAAGATTTATTTCCTCCTACAAAACTAGCAAACTTTTTTTTTAAAAATCAAGTTTGATAATAGCCAGAGTTAGCAAGGATCTACTGGTGGAAGTATCAAACAGTATTACCTTTTTGGAGAGCCAATTGGTAAAACTAATCAAAACTTAAAATGTATACGTTCCTTGATCTAACAACTGTACTTTTAGGACTCTACCTGATAGAAACACCTCCACGTGTGCAAAGATACCTACAAGGCTTTCACTGTAGCATTGTCTGTAGTATCCAAAAAAAAAAAAAAAAAAAAAAAATCTGGAGACATCCTAAATGTCCACCAAAGAGGAACTTCATAAGTTATGATTTATATCTATATATAGTGGGGATACCACACAACCATTTATTTTTCTAAAAAGGAAAAAAAGAAAAATATCAAATTGATAATCACAAGAAAGTATTACATTTGGGAAGTGGTACTAGAACTTTAGGGGATTTATTTTTCACTGTATTATTTTTGGTAATATTTGAAGTGTTTTAAGTTTTTACCATAAACACATATTACCTTTAAACTAAAAAAATTTTTTTAAGGCATGCAAATATTCATGCCTTCATGAAGGCTATTAATTAAATGCTGTATATAATAGCAAATTATTGGAAACAACCAAAAAAGTGATTAGTAGGGACCCTGTAACATGGAATACTATGCATGTATAAAGAAGAAAAAAGCTTATTCTGGTAAGGAATAATGCCCAAGACATAGTATTATGTGAAAAAAAGCAAAGTACACAACTGTGTATGATATATTACCATTTGTGTAAAAAAAAAAAAAAAGAAAAAGAAAAAAGAGAATATATGAATAATCACCTGTAAATGCAATCTCCAGAAGGATTATACAAAATACTCATAAAAAACTGGTTATCTCGGGTGAGGAGAACTGGTGGCTGGGAGACAGGGATGACCTTGCCCTATATATGCTTTTGTACCACTTGAATTTTCTACTATGTAAATATAAAGCAAAATAATTTTATATATTTTCAAAACAACAAAAAGAGCAACGTGAAGTACATTTAAAAACAATAAGGCCAGATGCGGTGGCTCATGCCTGTAATCCCAGCACTTTGGGAGGCCAAGGCGGGCGGATCATCTGAGGTCAGGATTTCAAGACCAGTCTGATCAACATGGCAAAAGCCTGTCTCTACTAAAAATACAAAAATCAGCTGGGCCTGGTGGTGGGTGCCTGTAGTCCCAACTACTTGGGAGGCTGAGGCAGGAGAATCGCTTGAACTCAGGAGGCGGAGATTGCAGTGAGCCGAGATCATGCCACTGCACTCCAGCCTGGGTGAAAATTAACATTATTATGTGAAACAAGCATTAACCCTCAAACAATAAAAGCAAGAAAATAATTTAAGGAATATTTTTCCTTTAGAGAAACCTGACGCTAATCCTGTAAGTGTTAATAGGTAAAATAATCTGGAAAACTGTTACGTAGGACAAATCATTGCTCAAAAGTTGTTTAAGTATATTGAACTTTGACACATTTTCATTCCAACTTATAAATTATAACACAAAACAATTATCTAGCAATTATAGGCTATTTTCTGAAGACACCTAATGTAGCTAAAACTCCTATAAAAACTGCCAGGCACGGTGGCTCACGCCTGTAATCCCAGCACTTTGGGAGGCCGAGGCGGGTGGATCACAAGGTCAAGAGTTCGAGACCAGCCTAGCCAATATGGTGAAACGCCATCTCTACTAAAAATACAAAAATTAGCCGGGTGTGGTGGCAGGCTCCTGTAGCCCCAGCTACTCGGGAGGCTGAGGCAGGAGAATCGCTTGAACCCGGGAGGGCAGAGACTGCAGTGAGCCAAGATCATGCCACTGCACCCCAGCCTCCCCGACAGAGCGAGACTCTGTCTCAAAAACAAAAACAAAGAAACACTCCTATAAAAACCTGTGCATCAACAGAACAGATATTAGAATAAAACAAAGACATACCATTTCTATTCAAAAACCATGGAACACCTATTACTAACATACAGATAATCATACTTTGAAAGAGATATATTAATATACTTTTAAAAGAGATATAAGCTGGGCCGGG